GCACAGTAATAAAAGACCGATCGATGGTAGTTTCAGAAATACGAGATAAAAAATCATCAGTCGATTCTTGACTATGTGGTATAACCAAAGTGGTCATTTGCATTGCTTCATGACGAGCTTGATTGATAGAAGTGTTTTGTGTTCTTTTTTGTGCAAGTGTGGGTGGTCTTGTTCTTTGAGGTTCTCTTCTTCTGGTAGATACACTTTGGATATTTGAAACTGACCTTCGGCGTCGTGTTGAAGATGTATGTATTAAACTGTTGTCATTATTAGTAGTTTGTTGTGTTGGTTCTTGATTAATATTTAATTCATTTGATTGGAAAAATAAATTTTGTGTTGTTGTCTGGTTTTCCAATATACTTGTTTGTTGATTATTTGTAATTCGTGACATTTGTGGATAATTCTGAATATTACTTAAATTTGTAAGTGTTGTATTTTGATTATTGTTTTGATTACTTGTTGTTAAAAGTGGTTGTGTTACAATTTGAACACTGTTTGTGTTGTTTGTGTGTTGAGTGGTTGTAGTAAGTTGTGGGTTGCGATTGTTTGGCGTTTGTTGTATACTTGGTGCACGATGTGTAACATTTACAGTTTGGCGGGGTAGTAATGGTCTTAAATGAAAACGTAAAGAAGAGGTTGATCTGCGTTGTTGGCCATTTTCATTAATTTGTGAGGTGTGATTCAAAATGTAATATTTTAATATTTTAATGTTTTTTGTTTTTTATTCTTGTTAAAAATGATGATTATTACATTATTTATATTTTTGTCGATTTGTTTTTCGAATTGAATTGCTATATTAAAAGGTTTTTAATCTATAAAAATTATTATTCAATTTTAAATTTAACAATTTTTTAAATAGAAAACCATAATAAATCTATATATTTATTATAATTGGGTTAACTAAAACATAGTTACGTTAGTCATCTATAGTTCAGTTAGCTATTTTATGGTGGGTTAATTAACTGGGTATATAGTTAACTAACTATAAGGTATTTAAGTTACTTCTCAACTGAAAAGAATAACAATTAAGATATTAGTATTTGAATAGTTTATTAATAACAAATAGTATAATAATAAATAAAAAACTATAATAAAAACTACACAAACAAATTATCAAATAATCATATGAATAGTAAAAATACTATTTTTATTTATCTATATCCACACTTGTGTAATTCCAGTTATATGCATTTCATGTGCATTATATGAAATGCTAATAAGCATTTTTACTTAAATGGTAAAACTGAAGTTGAGAACACTTCTAAAGAACAATCAAAACAGATATTAGTTTATTATATCGATATATTAATAAATAATAAGCCAATCCCTCTTAAAGAGCGTCTATAATTTATAAGTGTTAATTTATAATTATAGAAGTGAACAATGGTTAATAAACGATTTCGATGGTAATCAACCAATAAGTGGAAGAATTACTATATAAATTGAAATTACACTTCTTTCCAGAAAAATAGAAGAAAAACTTGAAAGTGAATGATCCGCATTGATTTAAATGGCGCAACACCCCTCTCCGTTTCACAGACCAAACTACAGTCTCTCTACACAAAGACGCTTTCCGTGTGTAAGAATGATTTAGTGATGGGCAAATTCATTGGGAAAGGGTGTTATGGCTCCGTCTACAAATCACAACTAGCTGGATTGAATGTTGCAGTGAAAGTGTTTCACCAACGTCCACGTGGTGAGAAGGTTGACAAATTTATCAGTGAGATGTCATTACTTCAAAGTAGTCATCACAAGAATGTAGTTCTCTTCATAGGACTCTGCAAAGAGCCCAATAGAGTCTCTATAGTCACTGAATATATTCCAATGGACTTGGACAAGCTCCTCCATCATCAAGAAGACATCGTTGGCATCGATTTCTCAAAGTTCGACTTCTCCTTTGAAAACAAGATCAACATCGCAGAGCAATGCGCTTTGGGAATTCAATGGGTCCACAACAGATTCGACATCATTCACAAAGACATAAAACCTCCTAACTTTTTGGTCGACTCGGACTTCACCGTCAAAATTTGCGACTTCGGATTCGCGGAAGTATTAACTGACGATGTAAGATATGAAGGAACTCCAATGTACTCCTCCCCAGAAATTATTAACAAAACACCAGGGCTAGGTAAGGCAACAGATATATACTCCTTTGGAATAACGCTTTGGGAAATTTTTTATAGAGCTCAACCTTTCAGAGAGTATTTAGGTTTGTTTGTAATTATTTAACTATAATAAAATTAGCTATTTTATTATAGTTATTAACTATTATAACTATATAATATATAGTTAACTATAATATATATTATTAAATTATTAAAACTATTAAAACTAATAGATATAAATATAAACCTATATATTTATAGTTTTATTTTAATCAATAATATAACATATAGCATCCTTTAAAGACTCTATCACTCTGTTTGCTAATTTCATTAACAAAGGTGGACGGCCGTTTATGCCAGGAGAAGCTACAGAAGACACGGACCCCCAACATTATAGAGAATATTATGAATATGAAATGCAAAGCACCCCACTCGAAATTGAGAATTTAATAAAAAGATGTTGGTCTGCTGATCCTTTGCTACGACCAGATATCAATGAATTAGTCAAAAGTCTATCAGACATCAAGTTGAGAATGATGTTAGGGAACAACTCGTCAGTTGAGTGGTGGAAAACACACGTCTTGTCGCAATTGTCATCGAGTGAGACTTCGACGAACTCTGCACTCTTTTTAGAAGAACTTAATTTGACATTTAGTGACACAAAGGAGACTCCAGAGAAACAACACTTCAGTGAAATTCTCAGTAAAGTTGGTGAGGAGAATCAAGTCGACTTGGAACGATTCAGTTTTTTACTCTCTGTCTTCGGTGAGTTTGTAACAAAGAAAGAACTCTTCCAAAAGATGATCAATGTCTTCCAACAACAATGGTATTTTCCTCTGGTACCTCGCGAAGTTGCCTTATCATTCCTTGAAGGACAAATAGATGGCACTTTTATGGTTCGAGAAAGTCATAGCACACCTACACACCCGCTCACTCTATCTAAAAGAGAAAACGGAACTACTGTAAACTCAAGAATCAAATGTACACTCAATAAAGACAACGAAATTACTTATTCTATAACTACTAAAGGGTTCTCTATTACTAATAATAACTTGTGTGCTATTGTTGAGCAACTCATTAGCAATGGCGTCGTAACTGTGCCTTGTAGAAAGGAAATTAATGATTCAATTTACTGATGAGTGTTATTAGTTTTTTTATATTATAAATTATTATAAATTATTATAAATTATTATAAATTAATACTATAATTTATTTATTAGTAATTTATAATAAATATTACTATAAATTATTAATTATTAATTTATTATTAATTTAACTTTCATGCTCTATTTTTAAAACATCCACGTCAACAAAAAATAAACGTGGCAATTTCTGGAAAAACAGTTAAGAAGCGTTAAGTTTGGATCAACTAAAATTCACCTTATAACTCCTTAAGTGGCGTTTTGTTTGAATAAAAACTATTTGGGTTTTCCCAATCATCGCCTTTCGCCACTTTTTTTATTTCCATTTCAAAAATGTTTTTAATTAATTGAAAACCAAATTTATTAATAGTTGTTAATATTTAAACTATATATTTATAATAAATATCTATTTTTAATAAAAACGTCAAAAATTGGCATTTTTGGTTGACAAAAAAACACAAAATCTACTTCAAACCACACCATTTCCCTTCTAAATACACTTTCGAATAAACTATACCAATTGGTTTATTTAATTAAATAAAAACTATAAGAACATCATCCTAAGTAGATTGTTTCCCGAATAGACAGGATTAAACAACGCAACGTGCTGGTATCAATTTTCATGTCTTATAAATTCGATGAAGAAACTTATAATCCAAACATGTCTTTCGTTGTGTTGTTCCTTCTTCTAGTCAGTTACACATCATCACAGTACATCATCTCCCTCACCACAAAAACGGGCTTTCCAGGGACGTATGTGATCTTTCAGAACGCGACGTGTTACTATGCCGGGAATGGTGAGTACAAGTCCTTTTTGATAAGGTTGACGGACTACGCTCCTTCTCCATATCCTTATGTCTATGTCGCCAATGGCACAAGTTGTGCAAAACAAGTTGGGCAAGCACTTCCATTAACAGAAACATATATGTCCAAGTTCGGTCTTAACTTCTCTCTAACTATCCCCGAGAATGCCTTCATAGCTCATATCTACATCGAAAGTGAAAGTTGTGAGTTGAAGGACAATAACTCCCAACCTTTAATGGTCTACGCTCAAACAACGTGTTTCTTACGTGACGAAACTGGTAAGACGTCGGGCATTTACAAGATGAGTGGTGACGATATGACTTACACGATGTACGACTACTCAAGTGATTGCACAGGTAAACCCTTCCCTCTTGGTTTCAGAACACACAGATGTCTTGTAGGTGATAATAAAGGATTGGTCTTTGGCGAGAGAGAAGGGACTTTTGGCATTCTTGCTGTTTTCCTCTCTTTTGTCTTATTGGCTCTGTTCTAATTCTTTTTAATTATTTTTTATTTCTTTAGTTACTCTATTACTCTATAATAAAAAGAATAATATATTATAATTATATAATATAATGATATATAGTATAGTAATAATAATAATAATTATAATATGATTATTGTATACAATAGTATGATAATAATCTTATTCAAACATAGTAGCACGTCTTAATACAATTATGAAAGATTTATCGACGAAGAAATTAATTAAACTTGTTTGACACATATTGAATATACTCGGATATCTGCTGGGTCTTTAACATACCAATAATCATCAGGCCCACCAACACTACTTGCTTTAAGAATACTAGACGGCTTAACTCTGTTCTGAAACACAAGGATAGATTTACATCCATTTTTGTCGGTGTTTTGTTTACTGAATTTAACGGCGGTTTCGACGTTTGGAGTACAGAAAGTCATGTTGGCATTGTTATTAGAGAGTCCAAGCTTTTTTCCCCACATTAGAACGTCGTCCATCAAATTATTTTGTGTCTTCGAAACTTCGCTGCCATGGTAACTCACCGCCCACTCGCCCGCTGAGCCATTTTGAGCCAACCATGTGTCATTGCCGTTATCGAACTTTCCTAAGACGTTGATAGCATATCGCATATATCCAACAGGTCGTCTATAAGGCAATCCTCCACGAATGTATGAGTGTCCTACGTCAGTGATTCCACGGAAGTCATAATTGAAACGTGAAGACAAGAAGGCATCGTCGATTGCTAATTCGGAGATTTGCGTGTTACCGCGAAGGAGAAGAACTTGAACGAATACGGCGTTGGCGAAGTCAATGTTGTATGCGGAGAGTTTAGTACCGTTCAGTAGACGAGTGCCATTGTACGTGTATTGTTGTTGAGAAGAGGGAGTGTGGTACTCCATCTCTACTGCTCGCTTCAACTCTTCTATATAAAAGTCTTGGAGAACTAATACCTCAACAACTTTACCAGTTAACTGCTTGACTCGAACAGGAAGTGTCCCAACACGGACAGGAAGAGTCGTTAAGTCAATTTGTTGAGGAGCTGTGACAGATGAGGAAGCAAGTGAAAAGACAGAGTAATCTTCAAAGCGCATGATTGGAAGATTGGGATGGCTGGAAGAAAGACCAACTACTCTGGCATTCACTAAACAGCCGAGAGCAGAGTATAGGAGTTGATCGTTTGGAAGAGACATCAGTTGAGATAATGAGATGATAAGTTGATACTTAAACTATCATAAGAATCTAATCTCACAGATCATATTCACACGTATACATTTTTGTAATTTGAATAACAACGGTTTGGTTCTTTAAATTATGATTTGTTTTCAGAGAGTAAATGATGTATAATTTAGAATGAATTTATAAATTTTTATTTTATAAAATTTAAATATAAATTTTAAAAAAGAATTATTAAGTTTAATGATTTTAAAATAGAAAGATCTTATCTAATTAAATTATTATAAAAGTATTTATAATGATAATAAAGAGTTAATTATTTGATATAGTTTTCACTTTTAATCTGTTTGCTCTATGAAAGGTTTACTCCAGACCATGTCCACGTCAAAGCACTAAAATTTAAAGTCATCTTGATAGAATCTTTTCATAATTTCGATCATTTGTTGACATAACAAATTCCTAACTATTTTTTCCCATTTTAATTGCAGTCCCATTTCTTTAATTTTTTGTACACTGTATTTGTTTATAAGGCCACCAGTCGTTATCACGACTGGAACTATTTTAATGTTATTTATATCCCAGCATTTTCTGAGTTTTTCCCGAAGTTCCATATATTTTTTGATTTTTCCAAAAAACGCAAGGCTCAAATTTTTGTTAGCCACAATTGTTATATCAATAATATAAGCTTTTTCCTTCCCAACTTTCCACGTTATATCAGGTTTTTTGGGGTATTTGCCATCTATTCTAAACATCATTTCTTTCCCTTTCCACGCTTTTCCTCCTTCTGGAAGCTCGACTATGTCTTCATTCCCAACATAAATTTGATCATATTTTATCATTATGGCTCTCCACATTTCCTCAACAATACAGTCATGCCTTTCAATTTGTGATTTTTTGTGAGCTTTGCAAGATAGAAGAATGTGGTCAACAGAGTTCACAAATTGACAATATTTGCAGTATTTATCTGACTCTATACCTGATATTGCCGACTTTCTTTCACCAATAATATATCCATTTTCTTGACATGTCACAATTTGTTTGTACGCTCCACATTTTATGTTAAGATTACTCCAAGCTTGTCCAGTTATTTCCAAGTCCACATTATTAATGTCTAACATCTTTATAATGTTCCCGGCATTTTTTAGTTTTTTCCATTTATTTAAATGATATTTATTTATT